CTTCCCACTAAATACAAAATAAAATAAATCTCTTAAGCTCATCAAAGTCTCTAAATTTGGTACTCAATCTCTCTACAGTATTGTTTCCCACTATTTTTTCTATATACTATAAAGAAGAGTAAAAAGTGGATACCAGAGTGTCTTTTTTATTGGGCCTGAGATAAGTGTTAATGACGTCTTATGTCCGTTAGTCTCTGTTCATCTTACATCTCTGTAGACTGCTCTGAAACTTCATTCTAATTTGTCTTAAGAGTAGTTTATGCTTCTGTCTTTCTCAGTGGAATAAAAGCTCCTTGAAGGCAATATTTTGTCATACTCATATGTATTTCTGTAAATCTGCATAAATATGTTTTAAATAGTAAGGCATGTTTTGAAAGGTCAAAGCATATGTTGAATGCCCACTGAGTTCATGATATTGTACCAGATGCTGAGAATGTAAGGATTAATAAGCCATGGTCCATGCCAAGAAGAAGGTCAGATTAACAGCAGGCAGGGAAGGCATGTTCCTATAATTGTATGTAGTAGTCCTACCTAATTGTACAACTCAGCACAATGGTACAATGGTAGAGAAATCCTCTAAATACCCTGCAGATACACAGGAAAGAGCTCTCAGCAGGTACTCAGGAGATCACAGAACTGGACCAGGCGCTTTCTTGGTACATAAAAATGGAGGAATAAATAGCTACCAGCTAACATTTATGGAATACTTCATGCTGTGCCAAATGATGCTCTGAGTACTTTGTATATCACTAGGTTTACATTGACACCTGTGATTTTTTTTTTATATTGGCTTTAAGAAGAATGAATTTTTTTTTCATTTTATAGACAAAGACATCGAACTTAGAAGAAAAGGCAAGTAACTGGACTAAATCAACACAGCTAATATGTAGCTAGCACCATACATTTAAACTGAGGTCTGAGCCAGGCATGGTGATGATGCATACCTGTAATCTCAGCATTTGGGGGTTGATCCAGGAAGACTGCTGAGTTCAAGGCCAGTGTAGGCTATGTTGGAAAACCTTGTTTCAAACAAACAAATAACTCATGTCTAACTTAAAAGCCTAGATTTTAGCCATTTTGTATTTGGGAACCACCCGGGGGTACTTACTTACAAATGCAGCTTGCCAGGCCTCCCTGCCTGTGATTTTTGACTGTGGGCCTGGGATGGAGGCAAGGAAATTACATTTTAAATGAGGACTCTCAGATGATTCTGAAATAGGTTGTCAGCAGATCACAATGCAGAGATTCTTCATTGTATCACAGAGTCTCCCAGAAGAGCAGTCCAGACAGAGGAGCCAGTGTGCGCAAAAGCCAGGAAGCATGAAATAGGAGCTATTTATAATTTATGCTAGAGGATAGGACTACAGAAATGAATAACTAGGGAGACCTGTGCCTTCAAGAAACAGCATGAAATGATTCCAATATCTAACACTTTAGTGTTTTTCATTGAAAAGACCTAATAACATTTTTATAAAAAACAAAAATCATCTGTAGTTACCACCACTCTAACATAGGAACTATTTAAATATTGCTGTTTTTTCAGGTCAATTTTTTAAAAGTTATAATCATCCTATTTAGCATTGTATGAGACTTTACAACAAATGTTTTTCATTTTATATAGTACTTATAATCACCACTTTTAATGGCTACAAACATTCCACTGGGCTGATGTGCCACAATTTATTTGTTCCTTTAATATCAGGCACTTAATTTGTTTCTGATATTTGGCAGCACCAAAATTCTTGAGGCTATAACATTTTATAGTCTTCTCTCATAAATTTAAGGATAAAAAAGTTTATATATTTGAAATAAGAAAATACATGCAGAACCTAAATCTGCTAAATATTAAAAAATAATAGTGATCTATAGACTATGAAGCAGTCATTTTTTAAACAACACATTATTAAGTTTTATATATAATTTATAGTTTATAAAAAGAATTATTTTTTCCATTCTGAAGACTGGACTCTGGGCTTTCACACTGAGGTACAACCTCAGCCCTTTACTTTTTATTTTAAGACAGGGTCTTGATACTGGTCAAAATTACAATTCTCTTGTCTCAGTCTCTCAGAATTCTGGAATTATGGGGATGCACCACCATTTCCAGCTTAAAAGCACTTTCACTACATAAATATCAACATTATAACAATCTCATGAAGTAGGCAGGGCAGTCAGTATACATCAATGTGAAAACCAAGAGAGATTATATGATGACCTGCTTAAGAATTCAGAAAGACAAGAGTCAGAGCCTGAGCTCAAGGCAGATGATGCCAAAGCTCTTTATTCTGTACTTTAATGCCTTTTAGATTAAGATCAATATAATTAATAAAGCTATTTATGGTGAATAAAAATAAGAATAAATAGGAAATAGGAAAATGTATAAATCCAGAAGTAAGTCCTGAGTTAAAACTGCCTACTTTAGAGCAAAAGCAAACACAATTCCTCCTATGGCCTGAACCATTAGTCTTCCCACCCCATCCTATGCTGAAGCCCCAATTTCCACTGTGCCACACACAGAGGCCAGTAAGCAGGCAATAGGGGTAAAGAATCTGTAAGGGGTAAGGTCAGAGAAGAGACATAGAGAGTTGGCATGCTTGGTTGTGGTGATATCAGGATACAGTGAAAGGGTGGTTACTGTGAACCAGTGAAAGGACCTGAAGGGGAGACAGTCATGGCCTTGATCTTAGCTTTTCCAGCCTCCAGAACTGAGAGAAAGTAAGGGTGATTCTAATGTGGTCTCTGTTGGAAGCGAGCAGCACATCATTGGTAACCAAAAGAAAGATGATTATGAATCCAGCTGAAATGTGTTATAATGTTTTGTAATAGACATAAATTGTATGATAAAACTGGATTTTTAGCTGAGGAGATCTAAGCAGAGTGATGAAGGAGCAACTTGGCTCCTCCTGAGCACTTATAGTACAATGGGAAAGAAGACAAGATGAACTGAAGAATGAATTCTTAAGCAAAGCGGAATGAGAACTTAAAAGATGTGGAAAATTCTTGGTCTATCCATATTGCAAAACCTGTGAAAGATTGTGTTTTACAGAACACGAAGGATGTGAATATTTTACAAAGACAAACACTAAAAGGACTTGTTTGTATGGACCAACTTCTGGCTTCTTTTCTTTATCTCTGCAAAAGTCAGGTTTTTAAGAGTTTATTTCTATAAGGTTGTATGATCAGTTGGGCACTTCTGGAAATGCCCAGAGGATCTTCAAAGAGATATTTATATTCAGTATTTACTGTAAAACATCCTTTCCCAACCTGCCAACAACTCCCAGTATATAATCACTTGTCATCTGTTCTTTTGATATTGCTTTTGCATCATTACAAGCAAAAAAATCAATACTAGATCATTGATTTAGGAAAAAGACAAGATTGCACAGCAATAATACATAAAGTTAGTCAACCCCTACCTACTTCTCAATGGCTTTGAAAGAAGAGATAGTTCAGTGCCCCTTTCTGAAATAGATACTCATTCTACATTGGTGATCTTGTAGCAATAAAAACACAAGATAGATAAGGCACCATAAACCCAATTGATGTAACAGCTCTTGTATGGTATACAGAATCTCAACATGCCTTTTTAGATCAGCAAGTAATATATGAACTGAGTCCAGATCCCCTCTCTGTAGTCTGACCTTCAATTTAATTTGACTGTGTGGACTAGAGCAGAGACACTCTGCCAGTGACACAAGAATGCAAGTGCTGCATTTGTGGTAATCAGCCAGCCAAGGGTCTGGCCCAAGCATATATTCTGTCTTGATAGACAGGTAAGGCCAACTGTTTACCTTATCCATTAATTTACTAGATACCATTTGGTCTTTCTAAGCCAAATTAACAGGTAAAAGTCATTTAGGTCTGTTAACTGGTTTTGAACCAATGAGTAGAAGCAGTGAAAAAGGAACTATGGGAATGGAGAACATTAACGTTTACACAGAGCTTTGTGTTTTTCAAACCCTTTCACTTGCATTATCTCACTTGATCCGCACCTCAATCCCATAAAGTAGAAGGATTATCATTGTAAACATCTGAAAGAGGAGAAAATGGAGTCCCAAAGGTTGCTACCTTTTAAAGTAGGGAAGAGCTAATGGTAGAAAAAGAAATGGGCACTTATCAGGGAAAGTCCTTTATGATAGGGACTATTACTGACAATACTGAGTGTCAGAGTTAGGGTCTGAACCCAAATCTTTTGGACACCACAGTGTACACCATGGTTTTTATACTGGTAAAACCTATGGTTTACTGTTATAGCCAGTATAACTCAGTGATAATCCTTGATGTCAAGAGTTCTAGATATCTTGAGGTAGTGGTTGTCTGGAAAGGGCAGTATACCTGACATGCAGGACAAAGTGTAGGCTATGAGTCAGAGATATCTATCCAAGGTCTACCACTTGCTTGCTGTGTGACTCTAAGCAAGCTTGTTTACCTCTGAGCTCTATTTTCTTCATGTCTCAAGTATGGAAAAAAGACATTACCCTCATAGAGTTGATGACAGGATTAAATTATATAAAATAAAACAACAAATATTAGTTACCTCCTCTAGAAAAAAACATTTCTGCAGGAAGCAGGGGAGTTACAGAATAGGCAGCGACAAGGGTCTCTTATTTGGAAGATAATAAAGGCAGAAAGATAGAGTAGAAGGTACATGACAGATCTCATTTTTATATGTAACTTTTGCAAATAGCCACTACTCAAGGTCTACTTCTTTTAAGAAGACTACTCTGACTTCTGGAGTATCAGTTAAGATCCAGGGACCCCGTAGAATTCTTGCTCATCTCTAGCATACAGTATTCTTTTAAAACTGTCTCTTTACATTATCTCTTTTCTCCTCTAAATATGAACAAGCTTCTTGCTTATTAGAGTACCTGCTGGAAGGTAGAGGCTTACTAACTGGAAGAATGGAAGAACTGGAGGAAGGAAAGGGGGAAAGAAGAACGGATTCATCCCAGTAACAGCATGTTTGCCAAGACTAAAATGAGATTGTAATATTTTCTTACCTTGACTGCATAGTTATTAAGTGGATCTTTCGCATACGAGGCAGTGTAGTAAACAGCATCACCTGCTTCACAACATGGTTTGTCACTGGTTAGCCTAAAGTCTGACCAGCTGTCGACCCCAAAACGGAGCTGGTCTTTCTGTCCAGCCATGAAGAGGTCTTCACATTTAACAGCCAGTTTCTTCAAGGCATCTGTATGAAGGCTTCGGATTTTACCCACCACTTCCTCCCGATTTTCAAGTCCTCGATAAAGTGCTTGTCTCTGTGGCTTCTGGATGCTTCGGCCCTGTCTACAAGATGGACCACGCCGGCTGGTCAGGGACTCCATGCTGTTAGAAAACCTATCTTTAATACTGAGAGTGGTTAAACTGGAGATGCTATTTGCAGTAGAAGGGATGGGTCTCTCCTTGTGCAGAGGTCTCTCCAAGGAGTCATAGGACTCAATGTCCAGTCCTTTGAGTTCAAAGCTAATGGAAGAGCCAGCACTGCTGGCATCCCAGTTAGGATCGATATCATAGGTAGGATTAGCCATGACACAAAGGCTACTTTCCAAGGATTTCTGGAGGTCTTTGGAGATTGGCTCTGTATTGGCTCTTATAATCATTTTCTTTGGCAGTGGGGGTGGTGTGAATTGGGAAGAGTTTGGTGCATCTTGGTCTGTTTTCCCTCCAAAGGCAATGGCATTGTCCAAAGCTCCCTTGGGCTGCCGTGGATGCTTGGGAGGTATCATAGCCGCTCTAGATTGCCCTGTATTATTTTAAAAGAAAGAAGAGAAAAAAATCATTAAATGAAAATTTCTATTTCATAACTGAAACAAGTAGAAATGAGTGAGGTAGTTGTGGGAAATATAAGACTTAGTGCTTTCATTCAAAATGGGAAAACAACCACAGAACAAATACCTGAACATTGAAGCTATGAGTTCAAGACTTGGAGGGAACAACAAATATAAATAATGTTTCAACATTTCTCTGCCAGAGGAACAGGCACTAATTTGGGTGATGGGCTTTGTTTTAAAAAAAGGATCTGGACTCTCCAGTCCTGCCCCAAGAGCACTATAATTCACTACACCAGAATGCTAAGGAATAACAGCCACTCACAGACACTTGCACTGTGATGGAGTAGACATGACAGACTGCAATTAAGGATCAAGAAAATGCTTGGGAGCATTACTGAAAAAGGCTGAAACTAGCAACAGGGATCCATGGGCTCAGAAGATACTGTTTTTTTCTTTTAACGTTGTTCCAAAGAGATTCTATGTTGTATATAGCATTTGTCATTTTACATTCATTTGTATAACACTTGTCATGTATACAGCATTTTCAAGCACACATAAATGTAAATGCATAAGCCATGTAGTTTTATTTTATTCGAGAGGGACTCTAAAATTGTCTAAAATAGTATATAAAATTCGTGTGATTGTGGTAAGTGTACAAAGTAGACAACTGCTGTTCCAGACAGTCATTCACAAACTCATGTGGCTGTTCTTATTTGGGGGGCATATACACATCATCATTTAAGAGGTACTACTTTTGGAACTTTTATAGTGAAACACTTATTTCTGTTGAGTGTCTAATGCTTATGCCTTGAAGATAAAATATGTGGGTTCAATGATATCTTCAGAACTTATGTAATGAAGAGAGGATACAATTTTTTTAAATCAGAGAATATACCATGAAACTTCCATAAACTTTATTACAATTGGTCATGTGATTAAAGTGAGGCCTTTGGTCAAGATCTCAGAGTTAAAGCATAACTCCTTGTTATGAACTGAATCACCCACCCCCACCGGTACCTTGTGAATGCAATCTTATTTGGAAATAGGTCAAGTAAGGATGAGGTCATTAGAGTGGGCCCTAACCCAATATCCTCACTGGAAGAAAACACCATGTGAAGACAGCAGCAAACAGGGAAAACAGCATCTGATAACAGAGGCATGGACTGGAGTGATGCAACTGCAAGTGAGAGAATGCCAAGGGACTGATGGCCATTACAAGGTGCCAGGCAGAGGTGAAAAAGGATTCTACCCTGTGTCTCAAAGGGAGCATGGCTTGTTGACAGCACTCTGACTTCAGGTTCTTATCCTTTGTAACTGCCTGAGAATACATTTCTATTGTTTTAAGCAACCCATTACAATCTTCATTATAGCTTTCCTAGGAAACTCCCACTGATGATCACAGAGTGGAAGATAACGGGTAGCATAAATAGTAGGAGTGGTGGTTTCCTTGAAGAAATGCCAAGGATATGCACCGACATCAACTGACATAACTTCACTGATGAATTCAACAGAATATTCAAAGAGTGCTAACAGTTATCCTTCGTAATCTCTTGAAATACAGGGAGGAGGGAGTACTTTATACCTCCAATTTTAAAGGGCCAGCATTACCTAGATAACAAAATCAGACAAAAACATTACCAGAAAATTGCAGACTAATATTTTTGAGGGACACACATACAAAAAAATCCTTCATAATATACTAGTAAACAGAGTCCAGCAACATTTCAAAAGGATTGTACAACATAAGATGGGATTTTTCCACGAATGTGAGGTTCATTTAACATCTGAAAAAGATCCAGAAAAAGCTCTTGATAAAAGTCTAGTAGCTTGCCAGCCATGGTGGCGGACGCCTGTAATCCCAGCACTCAGGAGGTTGAGGCAGGAGGATTGCTGTGAGTTCGAGACCAGCCTGGGCTACATAGTGAGTTCCAGGTCAGTCTCAACTACATAGTGAGACCCTGTCTCAAAAAAAAAAAAAAATCCAGTAGCTCTTCATAATAACACTCAAAAAAGTAGAAGCTGAAGGGAACATCCTAAATCTGATTGATAAAGGGCATCTTCATAAAACCTCTAACCTTGGGAGACAGTCTGGTATTTTCTCAAAAACTTAAACATAGAGTCATCATATGAGGTAGAATTTCTGCTCCTAAGATATATCCAAGAGAAATGAAAATATATATATCTGTACAAAAATTTGTACACAAATGTTTATAACACCATTATCCACACTGGCCAAAAAAGTGTAAACAACTAAAATGTCCATTGCCTGATGATGGATAAACAAAATGTGGTACAGCTGTAACACTGAATATTACTCAGCCATAAAGAGGAATGAATGAATTACTGATACATGCTACATGGATGAACTTTGAAAACTCTGTGTTAAGTCAAAGAAGCCAATCAGAAATGACCACAGGTTGTATGATGCACTTCCATGAAATATCTAGTAATATATAAAGTCATAGGGGCAGAGCATATTAGTGGTTACTAAGGACTGGGAGAATGGGGAGTGACTACTATTAAGTTTCTGTATGGGGTGATGAAAGTTCTAGAATTAGCAGTGATGATTGCAAAATTATGTGAATACACTAAACTCACTGTACCCTCTAGAAGGGTGAATTTTATGATATTTAAATTATATTTTGGTAAACCAAATTGATCCATTTCTATAAAACATCATAAAATTTAATTGCATTTTCTAATTTCTCAGTATCCTTAACATCACCAAGAAGGTAGGAACTTGGCCTTTATGGACTCTTCCTTGATAGTAAAGCCCTCTTCCCAGAACTGCCCTTGCTCTATTTTTCCTTGGCTAATGTGAAAAGTCAGAACCATGTTTTATAAATGAGATGAGTTGGTTGCTTTATAACAAGCCCTCACTTTTCAGTTGTTGACCCAGATCTCTTAGAAATGAGGCACCACAGAGAAGTTACAAGTAGTGAACTCTACCAGCACAGGCCCCTTATCATCCTTGCATGACTACTATGACAGTTTCCTCTTGTTCCAGTCTTCTGCTACCCTCACCTCACCAGCTACTAGAAAGATCTTTTTTCAAATAGCAAAGCCAATAATGGCACATTTCTGCTTAAAGAATCCTGTCCTCAAGATCAAACACAAATCTGAGTGAACCAAGCAAGTCTGTCATGACCTGGCCCTGGTATCCTGTTTTTCTTGCAGCATTTCTTCTTGCATCCTAAGTCAGTTTGCAATTTCTCTAGCACTCCTGGCTACTTTCTTTACTCTTCCTTCATGCTTTGTGTCTTTGCTCATGCTAATCCTCTTCCAGGAAAAGTTTTGCACTGCTCTCATCTTTATTTTGGAGGAAGTGGGGCATTACTGGGGACTGAATCCAGGACCTCACAAAAGCTAGGTAGACACTTCACTCAGCTTTAAACATTCTGCTTCTGGAGAGTGTTTCTTACTCTGTTCCCCCAAACTGACCTCTCCTTCCCTGGGATCTCATATTACCCAAGGAACATTTCCTTCTAAGCACTTAACAACATTTGCCCCAAGCACCCATTGGGTTCTCCACAGGGCTGCTTATAAGGGTGGGGGCTGGGTCTCATTTGTGTGCCAAGGAACAAGCAAGAATCCAGCTGACAGAGAAATGGAATAAAGAAATAACTAGAAAGATGAGCCTATTTTGTCCATTTCAATGCGTGCCCTAGAAAAAGCTTTATGAGCTGCCATTTACTATCCATTTCTCCCAAGCAGAAAAAACAAAAATAACTTGACACAGAAGGAATGAAGGGTTACAAAAGTGTTGTTTTTTTTTCTCCCTTTTCCTTTTATTACCTCACAACCAGCAAGTGAGACAGGCCTATGACATTAGCAGCTCTTTAGTGTTTATCACAGGGGTGGAAGAAGCTGACCATGCTATTTTCCACCATCTACAGAATAAAGTACAAACTCCTCAACAAGTTGGTCAAAGTTCTTTGTCTTACCTACCACTCTTTCTCATCAGCCCTTGCATGCAAATCACTCACTTCCCATTGTTTCTTTTTAATATGCTCCCTTTCCTTTTCCTTTTTTTGGTACTGGGGATTAGGCCTACGATCTTGTGTATGCTAGGAAAGTGCTCTATAAGTTTCAGCATCCCCCTTTCCCCCAGTATCAGGGATCGCACTCATGACCTTGTGCTTGCGAGGCAGGCACAGCGCCACTAGACCTTTTTATTTTGAGACAGGAACTCACTAAATTGTCCAGACTGGCCTGGAACTTGGAATCCTTCTAACTCAACCTTCTGAGGAGTTGAGATTATAGGTGTGTTTACCTTCATGACTAGCTATGCTCCATGTTTTTGTCTTTACATTTTTGCTTTAGCAAAGGTGTCTGCCCTGCTCAAATGAAGCCTTCCCTACTCAAATTGGGAACTCTCATTCCTTCCTCTCTGTTCTCTTAGTGCTTTTTTCTCAATGATAGTAGTTTAAGCCTTTTCTAGCATATGTCTTTGTATTTTACATGTACTTAGAACCTGGTGTTGTTTGAGGTACACACATGTGTGCAGTAAGTGGCTGCTTGGTAGAGTCACCAGAACTGGCCATCATTCAAATGGAAATGAGCAGCCAAGGGAGCAAGGAAATAAAGAAAATTTACATGGCTTCTCTTCCCAAATAGCAGTATATGATCTCCTGAGAACTAAGGAGATTTCCACATGAGAATCAGAAACTTATTTCTTCCGAATGAAACCACAAACATTCCACAGTCCACACAAGTAGGTCAGGACATTCTTCTAAGTTTAAAAGTGCTTTTTGTTTTTAGGTTATTTTTCCCTCCAAGAAAGACAAGTTTTCCTAACTGAATTTCAATCATCTGGGTCAGTGTTTAAAAAGTTTGATATCTTAGCTGGTTTTATTTTAAACTTTTAATCCTACATTCTTTTAAGCCTCTGGGACCAGACACCAAGCTCAGTTTTCAGCAGGCCCGATATAACATCACATAGTCTACATTTTTGTGGCATACCAGTTCTCCA